CCAATTTGATAAAATCGGCAGGTGAAAATGCCAAAATCACTCATTTCGTAAGTGGTAGCATAACCTTACGTCGTACATATTGATATGTAAATGACTAATCTGTGAAACAAACAGGGGTGTTGCGTGTCAGATAGTAACTGATAACACATCGCAGCATGCTTACAAAAAGCCGTCAAAATCTGGTAACACTATGACAAGCACGTGCTTGTAAAACTAATAAATTAAAACAGGAACGTTGTCAGATTCGTGGAGCTAAAAAAGTGTGACTGATTGTCGTTCATTTTTTTCTTGCCTGAAGTCTCTTGGCCAATCAAAAATCATAATTCACACACACTTTGCTTTATCCAATAGATGATACGACATTATCCAATAGTACATACAACAGATGTTTTAATGGACGACAAAAATGCTGACCCAAAACTAGTCGACGCAGCCATTTCCGGTCCCGGATGATTTTCAGAAAGTTAAAAAAAATTCAAATAACAATTTAAACTTAATTATACCAAAGATTATACCAATGTTTAGAGATTTAAGCGCTTTGTTTCAAATCACATCTGTGTCTTTTTACCCATGATGCATTGTACCTGTAGAGTTACCAACCCAGTAATGGTGCCAACTGAATAACTAGCTCAAGTTGTACAAATTCATCTGTGTAGTATCATTCACATCTTCAACCAACCATTGGTATAATATATCCCTCCTAACTCTTGCCCCCAAAATTTATATATCTTATCTTTGTCTCCATGTGCGAACCTGGGAGAAAACATACACAACCTTGGTACAATGGCAAGTATAAAACTTAGTGCGAGGTATTTTGTCAAGTTCACGTTAATCCTACCAAGGCTATACAAGACTAACATGTATCATGTTGCTGGCTACTTTTTTTTTCCATTTTAGTCTGTGTTGTGTCAGACTAAACAGAATAGTGAGTAGCCCGCTGTCAACATCCCTTTCCCCACAGTTCTATTTTAGTAGGTCAATAAACTGCTCGGCTGCGCATGCTCACCAGGTGTTGCCTGCCACATAATAACTAAAATAGCCTTCACAAATGACTCAATGGAAGCGTCAGGGATAGCTCATCCCATGGTTCCTTGTCAGTCCGGCAAAAAGAAACACTTGATATGGCGGCCATCTTGGTTTACTACAGTCGAGACCACGAACTAAAGACAGAGAATAATAATAAGGCTATCAACCGCCCAATCAGTATATTGATTCTAACAGTGAAGGCAGTTTTAGTACCCACTCAGAAAAAAATGCTGAAATCAGTCAATTTTACAGGAACTGAGGGTAGTGCCATGGACGTAGGAGATCCTGAATTGTTCGAGTTAGAGACTGACCATTTTCTCCGGTTGGGGGTGCCGGAGAAAAACAGGGGGCAAGCTATTTCGAAATTTAATAAAGGGTATGCCGTTTTGCTAATGCCCGGAAGGGGGGGGGGCAATCAATGTGCAGAAAAAAATACATAGTTTAAACAGACACAATATTTACAGATTAATGTACTTATTGCACACAAATATTCAAGTTCATGAACTTTCTTTTAACATTTTCAAAATTAAATTTTTTATTTTTGTAAATTGTATTGTATTTTTTCAATTGTTATTAAACAACCAATGCATGTACTCAAATAGTTTTCTTCTTTGAATAACTCAACACATCTTAATGCATAATAAGAAGGTAGCAAAAATGAGTATGATATATTTGAAATAAAATTTATCATTAATAAAAAATATATAACGTAACATGGTATATGAACTATTTGTAACTCCTAAATGTCAATCACCAAGCACCCTCTTACCAAATTTCTGGATCGGCCAGTGACCGCTGTCATGAACAACATCAATATCATCACGTAATCACCACTGCCATGACTAACACTGTCATGAACGGCGTCCTCACTGCTATTAAGTACAATACCATAACTGCCATGGACGGCATCATCACACTAAAATATGTTTGGATATTCAGAGTAGTAAAAAATGTTCCTTTCCAGTCCAGTTATACTACACTATGAATATTCACTTTTGTTCTTGGATACTTCATTTTCGTTGTCCTGTACTCCGTTTAGTAATTCGGACTTCTCAGATTGCGTAAACACAGATAGTTCGTGATTTTGAAACAGAAAATGCCTGGGCTAAATCATTTGCCGATGGATGGTCACTTAGGTATGTGCACTCTAACTTGCAGCACATAGACCTAAATGCGCTGGGCAATCAAAAAAAAATTACTTTGTAAAATTAATTACAAAAGTATGTTCACGGTTCGAGTTCTTCAATTTCTGATAACATAAATACCGGTTTCGCCCTCGCTTATTATGACACTCTCAAAAGCGAGTGATTCAAGTTTCCCTCAAGGGTAAACAATGGTTAATTCGCGTTTTGTACTATGATTTGACACAGTTTTTCATTTGCCTTAAATGGCGTTTTGGGGATTCATCACTGCCGTCCCTGGAATCTTACCGATATCCATTTTCCGTATTATAGTTCGCATGGAAGGGGAAATATATCTAGCACATGGTGTTATACAGCTGTGATGAAGCAGGCAACATATCCAAGTAGAATATACTGGTACTATGTAACATTTCCACTCACCTATGTCTAGTTTCAACAATGAAATTAAACAGTCTTTATTTTAATATCCAACACTAGAAATAATAAAATGTTACACCACGTGATAAGATTACAATTTCCCTTATAGTAGTGTTTCCGTTTCCGTTGCTGATGGGTGACAAGAACCAGTCGTTCACATCAAAAACAATGGCGTTGTTCGCTGCTGTTTTTTTAATAAGTGTCCCTGTTATGTAAAACAACGTATGGGGAACGTTGTCCCTGCAAATCACGAGCTATAGTAGATCAGTGAGCGACAGACATACTGGTTGGCAGAAATGTAAACATATGACGTCACAGTGCGACGATCTATATTTTATATAAAATACCATATTTTATAAAGTACAGTAAATATGAAATATTACATGATTACATTATGGTACCATGATTGCAATGTGGTACCATGTTTACAATGTGGTACCATGATTACAATGTGGTACCTTTGTTAAATATGGTACCATGATTACAATGTGGTTCCATGGTCGCAATGTGGTGCCATGATTACAATGTGGTACCATTGTTAAATGTGGTACCGTGATTACAATGTGGTACCTTTGTTAAATATGGTACCATGATTACAATGTGGTTCCATGGTCGCAATGTGGTGCCGTGGTTGCAATTTGGTACCATGATTACAATGTGGTACCAAGATCACAATGTGGTACCATGGTTGCAATGTGGTACCATGATTACAATGTTGTACCATGATTACAATGTGGTTCCATGGTCACAATGTGGTTCCATGGTCACAATGTGGTTCCATGGTTACAATGTGGTTCCATGGTCACAGTGTGGTTCCATGGTCACAATGTGGTACCATGGTTGCAATGTGGTGACATGATTACAATGTGGTACAGTGATTGCATTGTGGTACGATGATTACAATGTGGTACCATGATTGCATTGAGGTGCCATGGTTGGAACGTGGTACTGTGGTTTCAACGTGCTACCATGATTACAATGCGGTTCCATGGTCACAATGTGGTACCATAATTACAATGTGGTACCATGATTGCAATGTGCTACCATGGTTGCAGTGTGGTACCATAATTACAATGTGCTACCATGGTTGCAGTGTGGTACCATAATTACAATGTGGTGACATGATTGTAATGTGGTACAGTGATTGCAATGTGGTACGATGATTACAATGTGGTAC